TTATTTTCCAGTTAGTGCATGTTTCATGTTTAAACTATGCACAGTACTTTTAATGTGAAATGCAGTGACGCAATTTGTACACTAACAACTTGATGTCTTAAGTGTTTTTTATGCAAAGCACTACATGAGCCTCTTATATAGAATAACTTATTTTACTTGGATGATTTAAAAGTGATTACTTTGTACATGCCCTTGAAAGAACTGCTACAGAGACAAATATTTAAACATTTTCTTAAACTGCAGACCCTAGAAAGGCAGCTTTCCTGTAGAAAAGGAAAGGGCAGGAATCCATGTCCATTCTGTGATTCTTAACATATGGTCTAGGCAGCAGAGCAGTTTCTTTCTCCCTGTGTCTCTTTCTGCCAGGCTTCTTGCTTACACAGAACCTTTTGTTATCTGGCACTTTTAGCACTTTTTATTGCTGTCAAGTTCAGCTGAAATTAAGTAAAATATTCCAAAGAGAAAAGTGATGTACCAAGAGATGCATATTAACTAACTAACAAGGCAAAAAACATATCCAACTACTCTCTTACACTCTTTCATGCTTGTGCCTGAGGTCTGCTATCAGTTAAGGTTATGTATTGAGTATTAAAATACACCCCGATTCAGATTTTCAGGTTAGGAATGTGTATACACTCCTTGCCCACTTGAGATGTATGTGTTAAAATTAGAACCCAACTCTGAAAATACAGTCTCATTTCTAAGATGGTATATCAGACCTGCATCAAATAATTGCGTTCTACATAGCTGAAATAGTAGTTTAGAAAAAGATGGGGTTTTCCCCCAAAACATGCAAGAAATGAGGGTAGTAATTATGAACAACTTATTCATTCTGAATGTTGTGCTGATGGACATAAAGTGAAACAAAGATTAGAATAAATGGGAGAATTAATTTGATTTTTTTCCATATTATTAAGAGCGTGCCTTCACTGAACCAAATTTAAGATTGAATTATTCTGTTTGATTGATATACATTGGTACTGCTTCTCTTTCAGATGAAGTGGATTACAGCAATTTTGGGACCAACACGCTATCGAGGAAGAAGAAGGCTTTGGTGACGCTCCGCAATGACAACCTCCGACGACGTCCTCACATTAACATTAGCATGCCTCATGATTTTAGACCAGTGTCTTCCATAATTGATGTGGACATTCTTCCTGAAACACACAGGAGAGTGAGGCTGTATCGACACGGGTGTGAGAAACCCTTAGGATTTTACATTCGCGATGGCACCAGCGTAAGAGTTACTCCTCATGGACTGGAAAAAGTGCCCGGCATCTTCATCTCTCGTATGGTTCCTGGTGGCTTAGCAGAGAGCACAGGCTTGCTGGCTGTGAATGATGAAGTCCTGGAAGTTAATGGCATTGAAGTAGCAGGAAAGACTCTTGACCAAGTCACAGACATGATGATTGCCAACAGCCATAATCTTATTATCACAGTCAAGCCAGCAAATCAGAGGAACAATATTATTCGGAGCAGTAGGATGTCTGGTAGCTCTGGCCAGTCCACAGACAGCACTGCGAGTCACCACAGCTTGCCTACATCCCATGTGCTGCAGAACTTCCACCCTGATGAAATGGAGAGTGATGAAGAGGCTGACATTGTCATTGAGGGTGGTCTGGAGCCACAGCACATTCCTAAACTACACAGCCTTACTTCCAGCAGCCTCTCTCGAATCAATGGCAGCAGCCTTAGCCACAGACTTCAAAGGGACCTGGTGCTCAACAGCAACTCTGGCCGAGAAAGCAATGGCAGCATCCACAAATTACTCAGTTCCTTAAAAACTGATCCCCGACACAGTTTGGTTATCCCCAGAGGAGGTATTGAGGAGGATGGAACAGTCATTACACTTTAGTAGCAACTTCTGCAATTCTCTTTCCAGTCTTAAGTGCCAATTGGACAATTGACTCATGCAACATGTTGTGCACAAAACAGGGAGCTGATATTCTCATAGACCTCATAGGTGCAGAAAATTGTTGCTTTCTAGGAAACGTGGCATCTGGAGATAGACATAAAACTGTCATGTACTGCAAAATTTGTGGGGAGAAAGCCAGAGTGCAAAATGTGGTTCATATCCCACTCCTCAAGTGAGAACACAAATTTGTTTTGGTTGGTATAAATCTAAGCAGTCTTACAAGCTACCCATGGCAATGCTACATACTTGGGTTGGAATGCATGGGTGGATGTATTTATATGTGTGTGTATATGAACTAGATTTTAATAGTAAGAGACATGTCTGTTTGAAGTGGAACCTGGTTTTCTTCTAATACTGGCTTAAAGAGAGCGCTTCTTAACAGCCATCCCATCTTCTGCTGTTAAACGCAGCCCTTCCACTAACTTGTTTATACCATGTTTTCAGCTTTATGTCTAATCCAGACGAGCTCTATTTAAAAGTAGCTATTTCCTACTCTGGCGGTAACAACGTTCGGGAGATGCTGCAAATACATTTTCCAAAGGAAACTATAGATTCTATATATATATATATATATAAAAATAAGTGTTTTTAGAGGCCCAAGGCGGCCGTGTGGAGGATGTAGCCGTGACTGCTGGGGCACGGTCGCCACCTGCGGGCCAGCGCTGGGAACGCGGGGAGGCACCGACACAGCGGGGTCAGCGCCGCTGTGTGGTGGTGTATTGTGTTCCGATATTTATTAGATAATACCTCTTGGGTTTTTTCCCCCATCATCTCTGTTTTTGTCTTTTTTTAAATCATGGTTCATGTGAATTTTTAGAGATGCAACCGAGAAGGCAGCAGAAGTGGAAGAGTGCGCTAGGACAGTCCCCTTTGCCTCAGAGCTGACACAATCCTTTGCACCTTTGGGGCCGCCTAAATCCACAAGGTCTTTCCTTACAAAAGATTGGCTGATTGCCGTACAGAGTGGGAGGGGGGTGCTGACTGACTCTCAAACCTAACTTTGGAATACTTCTGTTATTTTTGGACTCCTCTAGTAATAAAGCTTAACGTCTACCCAGGATTTCTAGAAACTTAAAATATAGTGGATGTTTGCGATGGTCAGACACCTTTACTGGGTGCTGGCTGTTGGGTGACCACTGACTGTTGAGTCACTACCCGTCTGCTTCTGAAAATGCCATGAGTGTAAGAAAGTGGTCTAATCCAAAATATTTTGTTATATCTCGATCGGTGTAAGAAACAAAATATAAATGTTTTATGATGTATTTTTCTATTTTTAGCTTGTGTCATTTGCTCTTTGTTTTTAACTTTGTAGTACATTAAAGCTTTTTTTATATGGTGGAATAGACATTTCTTAAATATTGTATGGATATGCAAATACAGAAGTCTTGGTTTGAAGAAATTACATTCTGTTTTGGAATCTGTAATGGCTGGAAAAAGGATGTGTGGACTAATTAATTGTTGCTAATTCAGAATACCTGTGGAACAACCAGTCTTCTGCTCATTGGTAAATATCTTTGGGACATTGAACTTAGTTTATATCTTTTAGATTTGCTTTAAAAGTTTATTTTAAAATTCTTTCACTTACTCTAATTAAACTTTTTCTAGGTATCACAGCAGCTATAGAGCTGTACTTATTTTTACCGGCACAATAAGAATAGAACATTGATCCTGTTCGTCTTAAAACTGTGTTTGTACTTTACCAAAGGTTTTCATTTTTTAAAAAAATCTGATTATTGGTGCAGTTAAAAAAAATAGCTGGATATGCTTCAGTCAATCAGACTATCTTATCAGGAAAAATTTATTACACCTTAAATAAGACTACTTTTATGAATAAGTGATTTGTCTGGCTGAAGTTACTCATTTTTCCTTATTTAACTGATGAAAATGTGACCTGTCTGCAATAAAATGTGCACTGTCTTACTTCTACGCTATATTCTTTTGCTGTGCTCAAGCGTTTATGTGGAAGTATCTCCGGTCCCTGTGAAAACAAGGTATCCGGGTTGGATGGCTCTTCAACTATGTAACCATTTTAGTAATGATTTTCTCTGGACCAGTACAGACTTTGATCCCGCTGCTTGATCGCAGTGATACTGAGTTTCTTTCCATAAGGGTTTGGGGTTGGTTTTTGTTTGTTTGTTTGTTTTTTGTTTGTTTGGGTTTTTCCCCAGTCCTGCTTTAATAAAGGGTACTGTAACACTGATTTACTTGGGAAACAAATAGTTCATTACCCCCTCACAGCAGGGGCCGGCTGCAAACCTCAGGGCTTTGAGGGGCAATTCTGGCTCCTCAGAAAAAGCGCAGGATCCCTCTGGCTTAGTGATCTGCTGCTGCGCTGCGCTCCTTTGCCTGGAGCCTTCTGGATGTCACTGTCCAAAGAAACCGTGCGGTACAATCTGTACAAACTCTTTCACCTCATTCATCGCAGGAGATAGGAAGCGTAACTTGAGTTTCACACGCAGGTACCCCAGATGAATTACAAACTGAGAACCAGCCGAGTGTTGATGTGTCAGCTTTAGACCCAGCACTTTGTGAAGTAACTTTTAAGGCTTGCAAACATTTTGTGCAGCGTTTTGGGGTGGGGAGGGGCAAAAGCAGCTTCTCTTTGAATGCCCCGAGCTGATGCCTGAATCCCTATTACACCAATTATCCTCTCACAGTGTGCTTCCTTCCCAGCTCGGGCCGGTATCAGAGGACTCTGCATGGAAACGCGGCCGAGTTGTTCGGGCTTCACACACCGGGACCCCTTCGGCTGTGAGATTAAATTGCCCAAGCGGGCTGTAAAGGTGGGCGACTGAGGGAGAACAGAGGCGCGCCAGCGCTCCTTAAAGGGCAAGTCCTCCATAAACGCTCCCGGAGAGGGAGCCGCGTTTCTGTCCCAGCGCTTCCGAGAGGCGGCGGGGCTTGAGCTTCCAACAGCCAGGCTCGACTGCGTGCCGGGACACCGGCGATCCGTGAATTCAGTCCCGGAGCGGCCGCTTCCCGTCTCCCGGGGCGCGGAGGCCGGGCTTTGGGAGGCGGCTCCGCCCGCCGGGAGCGCGGCTGCGCCGGCCCGCCCCCGTCATGTGAGCGGCGGCGGCGGCGGCGCATCCCGGCGGGAGCGGGCGGTGGGATGGCGGCGGCGGCCGGAGCGGGAGAGGGGGCTGCAGCCGAGCTGCCGGGCGCCTTCCCCGGCGCGGACAGCGGGAACGTGTCCCAGAGCCACAGCAGCGCCTCCGGCCTCGGGGAGCCGGAGGACGAGGACGCCTCGGAGGCGTCGCTGAGCGCCACCGCCGCCGCCTACTCCGCGTACCTGCTCGCCGACCGCAGCCTCTTCAGCGAGCAGGTGGGCGAGGGGCCGGGCCGCCTCGGGGAGGGGGGGTCCTGCCGAGCTCCCCGGGGACAGGGAGCAGCGGCGGGCCCGGCGGCGGGAAGGGGTATCCTGGGAGCGCAGCCCTCTGGAGCTGGGCACGCTCCCGCTGTGGCGCCGTGCAGGACAGCGCGTACCGCTGTGCCGAGTCCCCCCTGTGCTCAGCAAAGCCAAGGAGGGCAAAGCTGCGGGGTTTCTGTGAGACTGGTTTTAATCTGGACGATGTCTGTACTCGGTGGTCTTTTATTTCTGAGAATCTGGTTGGCTTTTTTTTTTTTCCCCTCGTGTTTTCAAGTACCTTTGAAGGATTTCTGTTTTGCAGATAGAAAGCTTAGACAAGAGTCTAGAAGACTTACTGACCAGAGTGGACGAATTCGTGGGAATGCTGGACATGGTATGTGTAACTTGCATGTAGTTGTGTTTTTAATTAGTGCTTGTGTAAGGAAGACACGGAGAGGAAGAAGCCTTTGGTCTAGGCAGGTTCAGTATGAAAACACATTTGGTAATTAGACAACTCGTGGATGAAAACTCCTAAATTCCATGTCAGAGTAAAATATGGCCATACAGCTTTATAGTTGTACAATCATAGGATTGTTTAGGTTGTAAAAGACCTCTAAGATCAAGGCCAACACATTTTTTAAATACCTCCAGGGATGGTGACTCCAGCAACCACTTCCCTGGGCAGCCTGTAAAAATTTTTTCCTAGCTGCATATATACATAGTTGTATTTCTATACGTATTCATGTACATACAGAGAATCCAACTCTGAATGGTGAAATGACAGATGTTTAAAAGAGCAGTATGATATTCTGCTTCTCCTTTAAAATACATAAAGGTATGCTCTGTGGTTTTTATAATCAAAGTATTTAATCAGAGTTGCCAAACCTCCAAAACTAGAGGGGGACCCTCTTATCAGAAAGGCAGCTTTGTTTTCAGTTTCGCATTGGCTTAGATGGGGGAACTGAATGAAAAGTTCCTATAAGCTGACATTGGTATACAGGCTGTCTTTTTAAGCACAGCACACGTTCTCCTGCGCAACTCTAAGGGAAAACTTCATCCTAGGATTTTTTTATTTCAATACCAGTAAACCAAGACTTTGTGTCCTGACTTTTTTAACACACCTGAGGAAAAGTACAGGTAGTAAAATTCAAGTAAAAATTTTAGTTTAATCTGTATAATTCTTTAGTATGTCTTGGAAAATGTTCCATCTCAGTTCTGAGGAGACTGTAGTAACCTACTTTTAATGTAATTATAAAGGTAAATATTAGCCTATGCAAAATAAATTTTCTTCCAAATTACTTCAAAACAATACAAAAAAGATAGTGTATTGGTTTTAATCTAGTATTTCTGTACTAATTTTAATCTGGTATTTTTAAACTCTGAATTTTAGTCTGTTGATTGGAGCACAGTTTTATTTTCCAGAATGAAATCTATTAAACACTTTGTTTTATTAATTTATTTTTGTATTATTTCTTTGAATTGTCTTTAGATTCGAAGTGATTCCTCTCAAGTTGTCAATGAAAGTATACCTCAAATTTACACAAAAGCTATAGAAATGAGGCAGATATATAGGAAGATTGACAAACTAGAGGTATGTATTTGATATCTTCTAGATGCATTCTGTTTCCTAACAGAAGGGGGGAAGAAGCAATGATGTGCCATATTTGTGTGTATGTTCATATATGCATGTGGAGTGGGCTCAGGCCAGTTTTGTTCTCCGTGTCCAGTCTGGGTTCAATACTTCAGGGTGAATAATGAGAACACAATTTATGAATAATTTCTGGACACTGTAAGCGTTCTAAACATTTTTGGATTTTTTTTTAACATATTTAAAAAAAAACAATTAAAAAAAATTTCGTTTATTGACTGCTCAAAGCAAGGCAATTTTTATAGCTCTTTCAAAGTTACTGTCCTCAGAGACAAATAGAATGAGAGGTCTATTGATTTCTGATAAAGGTTCAAAATTGTGATACAGATACTTGGTGCTTTCTTTTAGTAGTAGAAAGTCTATAATCTAAGAAGTCCAAATTAGTTACTTGACAGGCAGATAGGAAGACTGATTGATTTATTAGATTTAACCTGGTTTTCAGCCTTTTAAGTGTCTCAAGTAATTTTTAGCAATAAAATGGACTTGTAAGTGGAAGGAAAATAGAGCACGAAGTTCTTGACTCCTCATTTAAGTAATGGATCTTTCACCACTGTTGTGCAGTACATAATCCTGCTTTATTTTGTTAATGAAAAAGTCATATTCCTGTTGGTTTTCTTTCACACTAGGCTTTTGTGAAAATGATTGGAAATAGCGTAGCTGGACTGGAAGAACGGGTCATAAAGGCAGAAACAGACCTTGGAGCTTTTCCCAGCACATTCAAGAAAATCTTGCACACAATCAGCATACCATCCTTCCTTAATGTAAGTAAACTTTAGTTACCATGTGACCAGCTTATTTACTTTACTTACTGAAGTAGATTATTAAATTAATAGTAAGTTTGTTACACATGCATCTGAATTTAACTGTAAAACTTTTATACACTTCATTAGGATTTTTACAAAGTTTTCAGGCTTAATTAAAAGAAAAAAACACAACCAAACTTACAAATCACAATTCCTTGCAAGAATTTGTGTAACTTTGCAAAACAAGGCTGAGACACAAAGAAATGAACGTGATGGGCACAAACAAACACATAATACACAAGCCTTTATACTGAAGCACCCCGATCTCTGATGATGTGCAAAGCGAGTAGGAAGAGCCTGTACGGGCAAGACTGTTAAAGGATAATTAGTTAATTTCTCATCTCATTCCTTCATTTTCCTTGGTGTTTAAATTTAGAGTGCTGCCATTTTTTTCTTTAAAAAAAAAAAAACAACCAACACAAAGCTGCTATTTATAGGCCAGTTACAAAAACAAACTACATAAGTGGCCTTCAAGAATATTCAACAGTATTTTCTTTCCCCCCCCCCAAGCAGTTATCAACCAAGGAAATATAATCTTCAATTCAAAAGTTTGGTAGTTCTAAGAAAGTGCCTTCTTTTTCAGTGTTGCATGGGAACACTTTGTCAGCTTAGTTGTTTTTTCACAATTAATAAGGTGGAAGCTCTTTGAAGTGTCAGCAAACTGAACCTGGCATGTCCAGTGGTTTCTTAGTTTGAGTATGGATAGCAACAAAATAACACTCAGAACTTATTGACATTAATTGATTAGCTAAAAGGCAGGTTACTGTTCCTCAGTGCTACTGGATATTGCATAGTAAAATACTTACCTTGACTAGTAAACACAAGCATATCTGAATGAAAATACCTGTAGAGATTTCTCTTGATAGTTTGGAAAAGAAGGCTCTTCTCATGTCATGATTTTCCTTGTAGCTGTAGTTCGTATTCTCCAGCTGCAGTTTTAATTTAGGCAAGGTCCCCCCTCTCTCTTTACATTTAAATGTATCTGTTTCTTTATAAAAAAAATACTTTTTATTTCTCAAGCTGTGTGTTTGTAATCTCACTTTCAGATTTTGCCCAAAGTTCTTCCCCTGTGAATACCAGTCAGTGTAAAGTACAGTACTATAAGACTTCTAGTATCACTAAGGATGTAGACTCTCAACAGGTAAAAATGTTTGCTAAGCAGCTGCAAAAATAACTGATCATAAATGTGTGCTTAGGCAACTGTGGGTGCTGTGCCTGCCTATGAATTTCCTCACTGGATTGAAATTATCCCCTTCTTGCACATAGGCAAATATAGCACCTCTTAAATCAGTGTCATGGGTTGCAGAAGACCTGTGACCTTAGTTTCCCTTTCTTGCAAGGTATTTTCTCATAGGACAGTACAGTATAGGAAATTATTTTAAAAATCAGAACTTTGATTTCAAAGGTTGCTTTTACATTTGGCAAAATTTGTGATGTAGAGAACACTGATTATATCTACTCTTTATAGATCAGGTCCTTGTTTATATTTTTTTATTTCATCGCAACTTGAATCCCAAAACAAATTTAGAAATTAATATTATTGTAAAGTTAACAACATATAATTTAATAAACAAGCAATTTTGTATATAACAGGAGCTTATGTACTTATCATATGGAGTACAAGTACACAGCTCAACTGAATATTCCACTTTGCTGTTTTGTAGGTATGCTTACTTTTATCCTCATCTTGGTATTGCAAAAGCATTCCAAACTCCAAGTATGCTAATAATATTTGGTATGCTTTTAACTTTATTATTGATGGAGACTCTAATAAATCCTAATTTCAAGCATTCTATTGAAGGCCATTTACTGAAAACATACACTGGGCCTGTGTTGTGTTGCAGCATTATTTACATGCAGCAAGACTGACACAGTAATCAGTAGTGGTCCTTGTCTCTTTCAATGAGCCATTTGGTATAGCAAAACAATGTACAGTGAATATTTAAAAGAAACATGTACACTTTTCCTGAAAAACAGTGTAGTAGCTCTTTTCCAGTCCACTACCAGATTATTTTTTACAGTATGTCATATGAAGAAGCTCAGCAGGAGCAGCAACCTTCTTGACAGCAACATCTGCTAGGTGTGTTTCCATATGAAGACTTTTTTAACCAACTAAATAAGAACACAGGCCTAGGGTTAACTCAGAAGAAGCGGCTGCAGAGAACTCCAAGGTTGGAGCAGAAAAGGTAAAGGTATATGGCTTTGAGAGGATGAAGGTTACAATGACTATACCATCAGCTGGATGGTACAGTTTGACTCCTGCAACACTGACGTACCATCAGTACACCTTCTAAGACCGAGTCTGTTTAGGTGCTGGAATGGCAAACATCAAAACCTGCATTTCTTCAATAACATTAAGAATATGCTAGACTCATCTGAGCTATGGTTAAGAATTCACTTGATAAAGGAGATACACATTTTAGCTCTGTAGGCTTTGTTTTAAAATGCTTTTTTTAAAAGGCAAAAAATTAACCTATCTGATTTTCAGAAATCGTCTTCCTCGCGACAACAACAGACGCTCTATGAACCTCCAGTCCTCTTCAAGACTGAAGACTATTTTCCGTGTCTCAATGAAGCACCTTATTGATGATTTTTTGCTTTGGGATTGATATGAATCAGCCAGAATAGAGACAGCCAAGTGAACAAAAGAAATGCTAACCTCAAAACAGCTGCATTTCTGAGCACTATTGATGACATATTGCCATTCTGATTCTCATTGTCTTCCTTCAGGCAGTATTTCCAGGTAATCTTTGTTTGTGTTCATTATTTCAAAAATCTTCCTAAAACACCATATAAATTTTCAGATTATTTTGGGGAGGGAATTTAAGAATACTTTGCCATTTAATTTTTTTTTTAATAGGGAAATAATAGGAAACATACTTTTATATATAAATCTTTTAACACGTAAATGTTCGTGCTGCTGCAAGTGTAAATAGCTATACTACAAGGATGGTTGTTATTTTGGGGTTTTTTCCTAATGTAATAATGGAGGTGGAAGAAAAACTATGCATAAAACCATCTACTCCAAGGTTTGAAGCCTGGTCCCTGCAGTTTGTACAGAGAAATGCACCACATTGGGGTGTACTATTTGCAAGGGGAGGAAGGGATAGATCAGCAAGGACACAACTGGATGAACATGATCTAGTCCCAGGTCACAAAGCAAACATCCTGCTCCCGCTGACGATCCTCAGGTCACAGTGACTCAAGCCTCTAATTAGAGCACCATTGAATTGTTTGATGTATAACCAGGTGGATGTGAGATAGATACATCTGTATCTATAGATACATATAAGACGAACATGCTGAAAAGCTGAGGCAGGGCTGTCCCTGACTGAGCCTCAATCAGGCACCTCACCAGACTGTTTTCTTTTCCCTCACAACTCTCCATGTGGTTACTGGGACTTGCTGATTGCAATTTATGTTGTCAATAAACTAATAGCTATCTAACCCCTGTTGTGGTCTTGCATTTCACCGGACAGTATTGAATAGGCCCATTCTTTCTGAGAACATTTTTGCATGCGGCCTCCTATAATACCTAGCAGGTGTTGATCGTAAATTGTCACTAGAAATACCCAAAATTCAGATTTTGGAGGAATAAGGAATGCTTTAGGGAAACAATGTGTCTGCACAGAAAAGAGTATGGATTTGCAGAGCAAGGATTATATATTAATAGATAAGGCTTTGAAAACCTTATGTTCTTGTCTCCAAACAGCAGAAGGGACTGGGTTCTAAGCAGTATCTGAAACAACATTTAGTAAAAATGAAAACAAAGATCATGAAGTCAGAATTAGTAGGCTCCAAAAGCAGTCCTGATGTAAAACTTATCTGAGTTTTAACACAGAGTCTAAAAAATAATTGTATATAAACATGCAGAAAGGAACAGACATGACTTTGAAGAAGGGCTCCCCTTCCACCTCCCATACTCCTCACTTTCATCAATAATTCACTATTCAGACATTTCACTGCAGCAAGAATTGCATTTCTAAAAGGTGTGGTACCGTTCAGTTAATGCATAAATAATGCTTGAAGGTTTATCCCTCAGTGAAATGAAATTAAATACCTCTAACTTGGTGTAGCAACATAAGGCTACAGTCAAATACTCCTAAGCACACTAACTAAAAAAAGGTAATTTTAGAACAGCTTTCTAATTAAATGAATCAACTGCTCAAATATAAACTTTGTGCTCTGCTAAGGTGAGCCAAAATCCAGTTGCTTTTAAACAGAAAATATTTTAAATATTAAAATAATAAAGTTTTCAGCAAGTTTATACAGCTGAGTATTTGTCATACTTTGTTCATATTAATGAAAGAAAAAAATCATATGAAGTAGGAGTTTATGTTAAATAGCTGTATGGAAAAAAAAGGCTATATCTTCAAAGCACACCACAAACAAAAATCATGCAGTTCCTGTAATTAGTGTAGTTCTATGTTGGAAATGGTCCAAAATATTTTTTATTACTGAAGATAATGGACAGTACATGAAAGATTCATTAAGAAAATGCTATAGAACTACAGACAATAAATAAATTGTGGCTTTTTTAAATGTGTGATACAGAATAGCAAAGTCATGGTTCATCTGTGTACTGCAGTCTAGAAAAGTACCACCTTGGCTGTCTCCTTATTCATGGTCAGTCTCACCAAGCAGGAATAGCACAAAAAACGTCCCAAGTGTTCACACTCGGTAAAGAAAGAGTGTGAATATTCCTTTATTCTATCTGCAGTTGTTACCTTATATTAGTGTAAAACCAGTAATAACTATATTGTGAATTAGGATCAATATTTACTGTTTCTGCCAGCTGTAAATAAAATCTAAATCTCAAAATCCACTGATACCAATATTCTTAGACCCAGAAATCCTTCACTGTGTCTTTCGTTGCACGTTTGTTTTTCTCCTTTTGCTTGAGTTCCAAGATGCAAGCCAGGAACTGCAGGGCTTTGTTACCTGTTTTTAACATGAAGTGCTCTTCAGCTTGAATTGATGTAAAGCAGGACATGATTACCATGCTGAGCTGCTAAAGGTTGGTTATCAAGCATATGAAATGAGCTAATGTTTAATATCAAATTATTAAAATCAACACAAATCTTACTTTTCTTCTATGACATGAAGCAAACATTTTAAAGCAGTCCTAGCAGAACTAATGGTAAAAGTTTTTATATTCTTGGAGTCACACACATTTTAGGCTAATGTTAATTAACATTAGCCTAATGCTAATTTAAACTAATGCTGCAGCTTCCTAAAAGATACACGCATCGTTTACTGTACGATGTATGTGAACGTGTAACAGAAGTTCTGTTTGCAAGCTGTGCAAGTTGGACTGAATGTCTGAGGTCTGTGTTTTTCGTAGCTCCTCGACAAAAATCAGTGTCATCTGTTCTTATTTAAATATTTAGTTATATGATAAACTATGGCTGAATTAAGCACATAAAGATTGATATTTGTATTTAATTATTTTTGGACCGGCGTATTTTGTTCCACTTGAGCAGTGCTGCAGTAAAACGCAAAGAAATTACAGATGAATGCACATTATGGAAACTAAAAGAAACAGGTTTGATTATTTATCTGACAAAAAAATAAAATAAATTGTTTAAAGATGCACTAGATTACATTGGCATCAAAACCTGTGGCATTTCATTACATCTGCTGACAATAACCATCAAGGTTAAGGAGTTTTACCTCCACTACTAAGAAATCAGTAGCAAACTGAATTTGGACTCTGTCTGCACAGGAACTGTTTCCAGATACTAAGCTGATAAGCTGGGGAGAGTGACCCTGAGTGAAAGACCTTCCAGAATGAGAAAGAAGAGCAAGATACCGTGCGTCTTTATCTATGAAAAGAACTGTATATTTGAAGTTGGTAAATATTTGAAGATTCCCTTAGAAAAAAGAAAAAAAGAGGAAAACATTTTTTAAGTGATAACATTTTTAAACTCCCTCAGTTTTCAAAGAAAAGAAAAGAAACCTAGTCTTGGACCAGCTACCAAGAAAATCCCATGTACCTAGGCTGAAGCCATGCCTTGAAAAGCCAAAATCCTTTTCAGATACATCTATGGTCAAAGAGGACCATAGTGGGGGTCAGTAATCTTTCTAGCCACTGCAGCTAAATCCTTCAGGTACCTGGAGTTTTCAAAGGCTGGGATTCACATCCCTGCAGGAGCTGTGCTGCTGTGGCAGAGCAGAGGCCTTGTCCACGCAGCTGCTTTTGTTGATTCTACTTTAAGCCGGTGGGTGGTAGTACAGCCTAAAGGTGGTAGTACAGCTGATCAGCTCCAGCTGATCTCAGGGTTTTTGGGAATTTTCTTCACCTTTTGCTTGGGGTTATCTACTCGCAAACTCTTTCAATGCTGGTTATTTTTATGATTTTGAAAACAGTGTAAGTAGTATGGAAATGGTACATGATGATCAGAGTTTTGGAAGTACTAAGTAACAAGCAAAGTGAAAAAAAAGGGAGCAGAAGATACTGCTCCTGGGCAGTACAAAACAACACTGGGGAGAGAAAATGCAGTCACCTGTAGATACAGAGTGTGAAAAAGAAAAATTGAAATAATGCCTTCAGAATTATAGCAGGCAAAAGGAGGAAAACAGAAATATCCTGTCTAAAATCCACCTGGATGACTCAAAATGACATTTAATTTTTGTCAATTTTAATATTGGCTGTACATTATTTGATGGGCTATTAAAGTAATAACACATGAAAATTGCATAAGCAGTCATAAAATACGATGTTTTCAGTCAAATGTGCTATCTATACAGGATCTTGAATAGTCTTTAAAAAAGTATAATGAAAATACAGGTGTCTAAATGTGCTGACTAAGAAAAGGAATGGAATGTTAGCAAGGATTTCATTAGAGGGTTCTGAGTGAAAAGACAAAGGAATGGAATTCATGGGGTTGGAAAAAGCACTCACTGAGGGAAGAAGGATAAGTATCCAATTTGATTTATCGTCTCCCATGGTTCAGAAGCTGAAGGTTCCTTGAGAATAGCTTAATGCCTACTTTATTGAAAAATAAATTAATTGCCATCTGTTCCTTACAGGTGATACCATCAGGAGTTTCTTTACAAGCAAGAGATCTAGAAAGCAACCTTAAAGGAAAAGCAAAAGCAGAAACTTCCGCAATCCTAGAACTTTAAAACCAAGGGATGACACTAAATATGACAGGAGTATCTGAAATGTTTCTCTGAATGTGAGTGAATCTAAAAGGTTTGCAGAGAACTGTGGGATGGCAGAAAAGCTGGTTCTGATTGATTCATACAAAAAAAAAAAAGAAAAAAAAAAAAGAATGGTAAGAACCTTATTCAGGAATGGAAGAGGCAGAAAATAGCATAGGCAGGAGATAAGCCAGGACATATTCTAAGGCATAAACTTGCAGTGACAGACCTGTGAACAGATGAGGGCAAGATCCCTGAACTGGAAGATATAAATGAAGAAGATCCACAACATACATGACATACACATGATATTGTTATATTGTTATTTATTCACAGTGTAGGAGTTTTTTTTTTTTGCTCCCGGGTACAGTTGTAGGAGGGGCTTTAGTTGTGCTAGAACTGTGGACCAGTTCTAGTGTATGTCTCACTGTGTTGCTGTTATTGCCTCTTGTTACTGCCTCTCTCATGAAAGCAGTAGGACTTGCAGGTAGAATTAGCCAGATCATTGTACTCTTCTGGCTAAAAATCAGTCCTACCAAGCCAAACAATCCAATCCAGCCCCAGCATTGATGTCCTGGCACAAGAGTGAGGGGTGACACATCTCTACTTCCAGCCATCCCCCCGAGAGGGCAAGCAAAGCACTTTCCCTGGCAGTGTCTCCCCGTGTACAGGCTGGGAGATGCCTACTGTGAAATTAGCATCTGTTTCCCTCATGTTTCTTTGATTAGCTCTTTCCTCTATAAGGGATGGTTTTGCAATTTGTTTGGAAGCATGGAGGGAAAGAAGAACAAAAAAAACTTTGGGCATTGGGAATAGCCTTTTGGTTGTCATTACAGAGATGTCTGTGCCTGCTTGGATGCTTGCTTCCAGCAATGTTTTATCAACTCAAATACAACAGTTCAACTGCAAGTGATAAGCAGTGCCCTTATTCTTGGTGTCAGAGGTTGCTGGGAATTTTTTGAAAGTGCCTGTAGCATCTAAAATCCAGTATATTATTAAGGGAAAAGATATTTGAGGGGGAAAATACTGAACAGTATAATTGAACAAAAATTGTGTTTTCTTTCTGGATTTATTAGCTTGACTTTTCCTGGATTTAATTGTGTTTCTGTAGTCGAAGGAAGGAAAACACAAAGCCGTAATGCCAGAGAAATCTTGCCTAAGGAAAATCAACTGTGATGTTGTTAGCTAACGAGGTAGATGAGCAGTGCTATTGCAAACTCATTGCATGTACCAGTGAGATAAGTCCATTCTGACAAGTAAGTTAGATGAAATTATGAGAAGGACACAGAATCAACAATAGAAAGAGGTCAGCAAAAGCAGGGTTGTATGAGATGCCAGTGCCTGTCTCGAATAGCATTCTGGCTCTCATTAGCTTGCACCATGGAACTGCCTCTGTAAAGTGGGTGCAAAATGGGTTCTTTTGGGATTGGATATAGCCAAAGACTTGCTCAGGAATTTAGCTGACATGCTACAGCTGCTGTTGGGTATTCATTCCGTGCTGCTGGCCACGTGCTACATTTAGGTCAAGATGAACCTCTGTGAAACATTTAGCTTGAACATCAGGTTTCTCCTTACAAATCTGCCTGAACTACTGTGCTGAACTACTTGCTAGGACAGGCATAGCCCCAGGGTGAACCCCAGCACTCTGCAGGAGTACAAAGACTGAACCAAAGTTCTGTGATGAATGCAGATGGGATGGTGCTGGTGTTTATATCTGAGGGCTTGAATGGGTCACTAATATGGATATTGCAGGGATTGTGAGAAGGCTGATGTAAGTGTCAGGTGGGAAAGCTACTGGAGAGGAGATGATGGGGAAGTGACATGGAGGGATAGACACAGACCTTTTAACTGCAGTGAGTTCAGTTCAGTTCAGGGCCACAAAGGCAACTAAGGCACTTAAACATTTCCTATGAGGAACATTTGAGAGAACTAGGACTGTTCAGCCTGGAAGAGAGAAGACTCAGGGGCAAACTCATCAGCATGTGTAAATACCTGGGAGGAAGGGAGGGAGTGAGGGGAGAAGGACACAGACATTTTTCAGCAGTACTTGCTGGTAGGACAAGAGGCAATGTGGACAAAAATAAAATCTCCTTGCCAAAGCATCTTCTCTGTTGCATCCCACATCAGTATTTTTGAACTATGTTCCCACCAGCTTCTTTTAATATCCTCTAATTCTCTTATTGGAGGGCACAATCAACAGTTATGAGCCATCTGTGTTGTTCATCCTCTTGTAGTAATGTCTGTAATTTCCTTTTCCATGATCTCTTCCCTTGGCTGAAGAATCATAGAATGGCCTGGGTTTGAAGTGACTGAAGTTTTGAAGCCCTGTTTTGTGTATGAAGCTTCTATGACCTTGTTGCCTTTCTCTGATCCTTTACCTCTTCTGATGTATTCTATTTGAAGTCAGAAAACTAGGACTACCCATATAAGTTAATGCACAAGCAAATCAGAGGTTTAAACAGTCCTGCAATCTGCCTTCTCCTTGTCTCTTTTCTAATTATTCCCCAATATCAGATCTTCTTTCTTGTCTTCTTCTGAATATTTGAACTGCTGATTTCCAGGACCTACCAGAACCGTGTGATCTCGTTCATGAGTAACTGCTCAAATTTAATTTCTGACTCATAAAGTGGTTCATATACAGGGATATTTTAATGTAATGGCTAAATATGTGGCTGTTAAGCAGGAGGTGCTTCCAGCTAGTAGGATGAGGTTTTGCTAAAACGAAGGTTACTGCCTATGTGGATCTGATATAAAAATAGTAGATTGCAGGGTTATACACAGAAAGGCAAATACAGATGCTGTGGGAGTCAGCCTGTTTATGTGTGAGTATGCCACTACTGGAGGTCAACAGCTGACCTAGTTGTCTGACCCCTTTATGTATTTGTGCTCACCTGGGTTGTTGTTTAACTTTTCCTATCTTAGCTACAGAGCAGTGGTCCTGGAAAAATGGTGTTTAAACTCAACCTGAGGTGCTGTGCTGAAGCAGAGAGCCCATGAAGTGTCCTAACAGCATGCTCCAGATACTCCTTCAGCCCACTGCAGCCTTGGAGGAGAGAGGTATCATGTTGAGGAACTGACAGAAGCTCTCTTCCTTTTCAGTGTTCCCAGATCCTTTTTTTGTGCCAGAAGTCCTTTCAGGATACACTCTCCTCTCCCCTCTTTCCCTTAACTCCTCTGTACCCAGAGGCTGAGTTTCCTCTTGCTTTCTCCATGGCAGGGATGCAGGGGAAGCACTCTGAGCATTTGCACAGGTGGAGAGTGACATTTCCTATGGAGGCTCCTGCTTCAAGCTAGTTGAGAGCAACCATGCTGAGGGTTTTCCTGTGATTCTTTTCTGAAGCCAGAATCCCAGTAGTCTGACCCATGTTGAGGAGCATCCAAAGTCTGAAATGGGCACTTCATTGCCCTGCTCTGGTGAGATTTGTGTCTTTGCACTCTCAGACATTTAGATGAGCCTGAAGAATATAATCTGGGGAGGGTACTAGGCCTCTTGAGAGAAGGGTAATGCCTGTTCAACACTCCTTTGGACAGCAGTATTCCCACATTTTGTCCCCCAAACTTTTGCTTGGAATCCAGCCTTTAGGACTGTTGTTTGTTCCAACCCCTCTACCTGCTCCCCTCCAATGGCAGAGGGTTCGAATGGTTGGAACTAGATGGTCTTTAAGGTCCTTTCCAACCCAAAGCATTCTGTAATTCTATCATGATGATTAATCACGCGCTACTTTTATCTTGCAATGTGTGGGAAGAAGTTGAAGTCAATGACTATTCTGCAGTGACAGTCTCCTGTTTTCTCTGTAAAGCTTTTGTGGATGTGGTCAGCTGATAACAGTACAGTCCTGAGAAATGAGGTATAGCCTTGCTTTTGTACTCTTGCTCTTTTCAGCTCAGTTCTTTTCATTTTCTTCAGCATTACAGTCATGCTAGAAAGCAGTATGCTGCCTTACAAGAAAAATTAACATCTCCAACTCTGTTAAAGTTGAATTTTTGTGATCCACTACCCAACCTGGATTACTTCAGAGGTTAAACAGCAATACCAATTTGGGTCCCACAAGCAAAGCCTGGCAAAACTGGAACAGGTTGAATATTCTCAAATATTCTACCATCATTTTTTGTCCTTTTACAGTTTTAAAAATATGCAGTTTTCTGTTGATTGAAACAGCTTTGTGAATAGTTTTATGGTTCATTTATGGTTCTTGTCATTATATATGATGTGTGATATATTTATAGTCATATGAATACTGTTGGACCTTGGGGTCACTTGTTAAAGAGTGTCTGGGAAAAACAGATTTGTTACATTTAGAATTGCTGACAAACCTTTTGTCTGAGTGGTTAGACTTGTGGAGAAACTGCTTAGAGTTGTATTTAGAAGAAGGCTGTGAGGGATACACACCTCCTTGGCTGGGCTTATGTGTGACAGTGTTATCGTAGGTCTGTCCCAGTCTGTGCAGTCACCTAATTGTACCTGATAGATACCAATTGATGGAATGAATTAATGATTCAAAACATTAATGATGACAGGCATTTGCATTGACTGGACCCACCAGAGCATGCACATGTGAAAAGGTTCATCTCAAGCCTTCTTAAATGTGTCTAAACCTGCCTGCAACCAGTTGGGGATCTGCATAGGCAGGAGCTGGCTGGCTGTTCCTTCGTCACTTGCAGTCTTGCTGGAACAGAAATCTGCAGACTGAAACCCATGATGGTGCTGGGACCCTCACAATAGGCACGCTGCTGCAGAGCCCCGCTTAGGTGGGTTCCCTTGCCAGATGGAGGGGAATACTCAGCTGTGTGCATGCAGACCTCTGAGAAGACAACAGGTGACCTGGGATCTGCCTGGGGTTTTTTACTCCATCAAAAAGACATCTGTCTAGTCCTGAGTTTCCACAGATGTAGCCATATACGAATGGCTGGTGGAAGGTCCTGGAGGAATATCGAAGGCTGTCAGCACATGGCTGTGAAGACTAAGCTGTGTGAGACAGCAGGCAGCAGCAGCATAATCCTAGCTGGGCCCAGAAATCCACACTGCCACTTCCACCACACTGGCCTTGCCAGGTTCACATGCCCTGGGGCAATCTGTGGGGCACCACAGGAGTGCCTGTGGCTACCCAGGACCAGTCACAGTGTGAACAGCATGTTCTCACAGGGCAGGCTGGGGTACAGAAAAGAGAAACTGAGGTGCAGAAAGCTTCCAGGAGAGAGAGGAAAGCAAAGCAGGGGAAGGATGTGGGTTTACATCTGGTGGCACCAGAGGAGGTTATGAGACAGTGTGCATTATGGTTAGTCACATCGAGGTAAAGAGAAGCGGCTGAGGTGAGTGGGTAAAATGGATTTGCTTTGTTGAGAAAAAAGGGAAGATACAGTAGAAAGAGGAATGTTTTGTTATCCAAATGCCACATAGTCAGTTTGACACCAAAATTTTAGCCACAAATTTTCAGGATGCAGATGACATAGCTTTATTGCAGCTGAATTATTACTAACTCCCTGATTGTAATGATTCAAGCACTTCCTTTCAAATTACATTTTTCCTTCTCATGTGCTCTATATAACCTATTTCCAGAAAAAATATTTATCACACCAGTCTTTACTAGTTAAGTGTTACTTTTTCTAGCCAGCTGTTTTTGTTCTGCTTTCCTTTTAGCAGGAAGATTAAACAATTAAAAATTAGTCAGTCTATGTTGTACTTTTTTTTTGCATCTTCTCCAGAAACATTTAGTAGGTGCTGCTATAGGAGGCAGAATGCTGGACTCATCTGACTGTCCATGGCTTTTCTGTAATATAGTTTCCAGTGGCCACCATTGGATAATACCAATGTCATCCTAGTAATTTCTCTGTGTAAAGGAATCATGCAGTAATTAAACAAACATGCATTTGGAGGTGCTTTGATACATCATAAAGTAAATGGAAAATCCTGTTTGTTTCCGCTCAGATTGATTTGTTTGATACTCCCTGAAACTGGTAAAAGGATACTAATAATTTACAGTTTGTAAACATCACCAGAAGTGGCTTTTTTATTTAATCACTTTCATTATTTTCAAAGACTTGTTTGTGTTCTTAATTATTAGTGTACAGACCTCCTCCAAAATTTCCATCTGATAAGATCAGTAATATTCTTTAGCGTGGAAATTTCAGCAGGTGATGTTAAAATGCTAAAAAAGTCCAGCTCCTTCCTCCTTCTTTGCTTCTGTATGTCTCAACTTACATTGCTTTCCTGTCTTTGATGAGTCATTGCATTTACTTTGTACTGATACTTTTACATTTCAAGCCTGAGCAGTGATTTTGATTTCCTGGTTTTCTGATCAGAAAAAGCACCATTTTTTTCCCTGTAGGTAGCACTAGATTTTTGTCAAATCAGAGAAACCCTCTTTTCCAAGTTACGACTACACGGGGTGTTGTGGAAATGTTATGCAGGTGTATCTGCTTGCTTTTGAAGATGCTTGATGCTGTTTCCTAGTAGCAATCCAGGTCCTAAAGGTATGTTGCTTTATAGTTCAGCTGAAAATTATAAAGGCCTAAAACATAAACAGTATAAAATATAACAATCAACTTTGAAAATAGAAACGAGCATTTCAAATACCGGAAACTCCCAACTATGCAAATATAAATTCCTTCTTCTCCTTGTCGTGACCAAAGGGTGGCAGTGGCTATTGCTGAGCATTGATGTATGACCTAGGAGTAGTGCAACCCAGTATTTCAAGTTTAGCAGAGCATTTTTAGAGACTGGGGTTCACAGACTAGCCTACAGTTTGTTCACTCCTGCAAGCAAATAGAACACCAGCTTTCACCTTGATAGGGCTCTGACAGTACAAGCTACAGCTCTCCACCCTGCGTCTCAGCCACCTACTGCTACTTGCAGCAAAGGGAGTGGGAGGGGATGTCCTTCTGCATCTTCTCTGACCTTTCTCCTGCTCTGCTGCCTGCCTTGCTACCAGCAAAGGTAAACATCAGGCAGCTGTGAAGACGAGTGTGTTCTCACGCCCTGCAGTTTCCTTCTCTGTGGGCTGCCCCCTTAGTTCTTAGTGATCCCATCAGCTGTTAGTGACACCCCCTCAGCCTCTGTTTCAGCCCTGCCAGTGAAACAACCTCAGGAGGAGCAGTGTGTTGGTGAAGGGATATTGTCTTTCACCACCTGCTGCTGCTACTTGTTTAAAAAAAGCCACAAAACCCTACATCTTTTTATTTCTGAGGTGGTTTTTTAACTTTGTTCATCATGGCACTCACCTCAAGAGGTGGGATAAAGGATAATTAAAACCTGCTGAGCCAGCAGACTTGGCACAAAACCAAGTAGAACCTCGAAATTTTGAAAGGAGTTGTAAAAAATTGGGAAGCATTAACCTCGGATGATTTTCCGTGATGATGAAAAGATGAAAGCTGGAAACACGTAACTGAATTATCGTTTGGAGATATGCAGCACTTCTGAAGTTAAATCAAAGTATCCTGTTCACTGTAGTTGAAGTAGTTAATATTTGCCAGATTAGCTTGAGGCATTTCGATGTAATATGAAGATAACAGTGGCACAGTGCTTACACAGACAAAGTGAGGCATACACACATCCAACTCTTTTTACAGAAACACACCCTCAGCACAGCTCCTCTTTAACCTGCAAAATTTTATTTTACTAATACCTTCTACAGATTATGTTGCAACAGTGCAGGAAGTGATTCATTTTAGACATAAAAACGTAGTTATACTTCAAAGTGCTTTATCACTTTCCTGTTCTAACCTAACGTACAGTAACTCAATAAAACTTCAGCAGCATTTGTGTGTATGAATTAGCCTCGTGGGCTATGCCCACTGTGGCTGCGGAATTATTTGTCAGCAGAATTTCCTTGCACAGCCTACTCTTATCAGAGGACAGCCACAATTACTAAGCTAAACTGGTATGTGAAAACATATGGTGTTTTGGAGCTGCTTGGTTACTGTGGAGGATAAATAGCTGCTGACCCTAAACAAGATCTTTTTATGAAAAAAAAAAAAAAGAAAAAAAGAAAAAAAAAAGAGCAGTGTCCCCTGTGCCTTATAAGGCATGGGCAGGCTTATTGCAGCGCTGAAGGAGGGGCGGTAGCGGGTTCACGCTGCTGAGTTTTCTCCGGCAGCAGTCGCAGGCGCCTGAAGAAGTTGAGCTGAAATTGCAAACGCTTCGTCCCGGCACTTAACGGCGAAACTCGGTCAAGAGAGGAGGCAGCAGGTGAAATTAAAAAAAAAAAAAAATCGCCACTTGATCATGGGAAAATCAGGTGAGCAGGGGAAAATCGTGCAGTTGGCTGTGTTTTCATACAGTGTCCGTGCCTGGTTTTGTGCTCAGAAAGCATTGCTAAAGCGTTAGTGGGTTTCCTCGGAGAAAGCTGCTTTCGTTTGTGCATGGTACAGCCTGGGAGGAGCTTTCTCTCTGAGAAGGAGTTAGATTAAACAAAAACCAAGAAAAAGGACACCCCCCTCTCCACAGTCTGCACAGTGTAGAGGTAGCTGTATTTTATATACAGTTTATATTTTGTAACTTAAGTTTTGTGCTTTGCTGTGTAAAATAATTATAAGCCCTATAGCTTTAAAAGTACTTCATGTCTAGCTGTCTGACATAACTTACCAGCCTTGTAGATGGGCAGCAGGATGCTTTGAGAGGGGGGAAGCTTTTTGTCACCCTTCTTTTGGAAGGATTTAGATTTAAGATTTGGTTGCCGTTTAACTGACGCCGCCTCAGCTCCAAAGTCTCCCCAGCTGTGCACATACCCTTGAAGCTTCTCCTGCTGCTGCCTACGCTGTTGCTCCTTTCCCTGCTGCCACCAGCTGTCTGTGTGCCCTGCTCTGGCAGTCTGGGCTGGGGAGTACTCCTCCGAAGCTGCCGAGGAGCCAGAGATATTAAGAAGGGAGGGCTCATGCCCCCTGTTTTCTCCGTCCTTGTTCTGTTAGAGTCATGAGCGAAAATCTTCGCCAAACTTTTGAAACAGCTGTAAAACTAGATGGAGTTTTTTCTTAATCTTGTGGTTAGGAGTTTACTTCTGTGACAAATCAGAGCCTCGTGGCATATTGTCTGTCTCTCCTGTGTGTGAACAGCATGTATGGGACATGCTCAGCAAAACCTAGTACTCTTATTCACTCAAAACCAAGCCCTCTTCCAGAGAATATTGATGAAAATCTCTGTGTGGGTAACACTTCAGTGGGCCTCAGCATAGTTATGTTGATTTTTTTCTTCTTTTTCTTTGTTTTTAAAGGTCAGCTTCTTAGGTGAGATCAGAGCTGACTGCAAATGTGACTGTAAAGGGTTTACTGGTATGACATCCAGTCCAGGCAAAGCACTATGTAACTGCCAGTGGGTTTGTCCCCATGTCCTGGCAGCTACATATGTTTTCAAGTGGATTGGGATTTAGTAATTAGCCTTATAACAATTTAAATAAGTGTAGTTGCTCAGAAGTATCAAGTTCAGCACTTCTTATGCTAACAGCATAAAAGTACAAATATCATATAACTGTAGTGGCTGTACATTACATTAGAAAAGCACATTGGGCAAAAGCAGTAGAGATACTCCACTGTGCACCTCCCAGTTTCAGAAGGAGTAAAAATCTCCCTTTGTTTTAATACATGCAGACTGCTAGAACAGTCATAAGGCAATCACCATCTTTGGTTTTTCCCGCACATTTATTGCTGCACATTAGTTGATTTTTCCAAACTTAAGAGCAGTTACAGACAAGAAATTCTCTTTGCCAAGGCTTGGGTAATGTTTGTATCCCTAAGTACTTATACAAATAAAACTTGAGATCTAGGAACATATTTTGTCACTTGTATCACACTTTTCAGATAAAGGTTAAACTGGGTCCAGGTTACTGTCTTAGAGCTGTGTGCAGTATTTTTAGGTGAATCATAAAACTGAGATCCTGTCCTGGCAATTGGCTTATTGACTAAATCCCATCTGCTCTTTCTAGTGCGCTGAAGTCTTCAAATTCCTGTCTGAGATCATTCAGTGTGGTTTGCCTTTGAATGGGGAGAGCAGCTGTTTTACAGAGTACTGCTTCCTCTGTGTTTTGTGTGAAATACCTCGCTTTTCCACTGTAGTACTCTTGAGGTGTGATGCAGGCAAGTTCCTCTATACTAGGGTATATGAAAATGTAACAGGTTGGGATCTGTCTAACCTGGAAACAGAGTCCTTGCTCCTCTCCTGGGTCAGAAAGATTAAGGCAGAGATGGCCTGAAGTCTAAATTTAAGGATGCTCTAATTCATGTATAGTGGGACCACAATTTTAAAATAAATGTCTTCAGAGCAGTCTCTTTTTGTTTTTGGCAAATCTGTCTTGAGGTAGAAGTATCACCACACAAAGAAATCCTGCTGTTGAAAATCTCAGTTCTTTGATAATAGCTCTCCAATAATGTTGTATTTCTAGCTGTTACATTATATTTGAAGCAATGTTCATTGCAAGTATCAGAGCTCGAGACTTAGCATTGGTTTTGCTTCACTGAATAGAGCTGAGTGTTGGAAGACATTGGTACTTCTGACTCAGCTTTCTTCCTTGGAAGCTGCAGGCTGCTGAAACCAAATTTGTACTGAAACTTCCTTGTCAGGTTTAGAAAAATGTCTCCCGTTGCCGTAAGTCCTGCAAATACTTACGCCAAACATGGAGACCTCCCCTGCCCACCCCATGTATTCTCTTTTTCAGACAGCGTTTGGATTGGTGGGGGGTGCAGGCAGCCCTCCCCACAGATGCCAGAGAGCCCTAACCGAAAAGAGAGAGAGAAGTATTTCTGCAGGAAATGAGGGGATGGTGAGCTGGCTGCTCCTCGTTGCCCTGTTGCTATGAGTGCCACGTTGGCAGGGCTCTGACTCCCCTGCAGCTGTGTGGGGTTCCGCGGGCGGCCCTCGCCCCAGAGGGGATATCCATGCGAGCAGCTGCAGGCGATGCTCAGGGAAGCAGCTGGCTGCAAGCTCCACTCCTCCCCTCTGGAGCACGGGGATTCCTGCTGAGCAGTGGGAGTCTCTGAAAAGGCTGGGATGGTGGTAGAAAAAGGCTGCTAAAAGTCTCATTTCTTCGACTTCCCTCTGGCTCAGCCTGGTGGGGGAAGGGAACTTGCTCCGTTTGGTCCCTAAAAACCCGGTGGAGGGGATGGTGGGGGAATCGCCCTCTTTATTCTGGCAAGTGGCTGCAGATACTATGAAAGACAAGGACAGGCTCAGTAAATGCTGCCTATCTTTTATTATTATTATTATTATTATTTCTCTCTTCTCTTTTTTCTTTTTTTTTCCTCCCTTTCTGCAAATGTGGGTGGGACTCAGAGAAGACGCTGGGAGTTGCCCACTGTTCTACTTGTTGAGTCGGTACAAAAAGGAAAAAAAAAAAAAAGGCTGAGGAAGGGTTTTGACAAAAAGACAAAAGACAGAAACCAGACTCGGTGCAGTTTTTCACTGTGGTTTTAATCTACCTGAGAAGCATGTGCTGTTTTTTAACTCTCAAGATGCACCTTCGGAGCACAGTAAAAAGGACTGTTGTATTTTCTTCAGAGAGAGCTACGTCTTCAGCTGATCTGAAGTGCTAACCTGTGCTTCAGCATCTCGGTAGGAGACAGTGGTGGCTGGTCCTAACAAAAGCACTGGTATACTAGAGAAGTGACCTGTTGGCTTTCTGAGAAATGCGATACTTGCAAGCTGCCAAAATGACAAAGTGTTTCCTGCTGACTGGTTTTACAGGACTGGTGGGAATAAAGAAAATGAATTGGTCTGAACTGCTAGCAACTGAGCGTTTGCGTTTGGTAACATCGGGACATTTGCAGAACTTGTCAACACAAGTTATTGGCTATTTTTTCTTTACACCAGAATTGAACTGGACGTGTGGTGAGAAAAGGGCCTTTCAAAAACAAGGTTAATTCAGATCATAACCCCACACCTCCAGTTTTTGTGTGAGGAAGACATTGATTACTTGGCTCAAGTTCAATAAATGTCAAATAGAGAAAGGTTTGATAGGAGTACATTAGGCTATGGCAAACAGTATTCTGAACCCAATTTTTACCTGTCTGTTGAACCAGCAGGTTTCGGTGGGGGAAAGGAGGGTAATGCAACAGTGGTTGCTCCTGTTGACTGTTAGATTAGTACCCTTAGCTCCACGTGTTAAGTCAGATAATGCCAAAACAAGTGTGAAGGGCTCACAAAGCATTAAGATGGTAAGTATCTCGGTTATTACAGACATTCTAAGGTTTCCTATACTGTTGAGTCATACTTCAAAAAACATCATCTTTATGAATCCTCCAATAAATCTTTCTCAAAAAAAAAAAAAAAAGAAAAAAAGGAAGTTAAGCACGAAGAAAGCTTTTATTGCTGGGAACAGTCAAACTGTTAGTTTTCTGTCAATACAGTTGTAGTGTCTATCTTGACTGGGTTTGAATTTGCCTCTGTTGCTGCTCTATGTGCAGGAAAAAAAAGTATGAGAAAATGAGTGTTTTGATTTTAACTGTTTTGTTGTTTATGTATCTCAACAGGCCAGAAGGCTATTTCAGATCTCTGTTTTTGTAGAAGCCTTGCTGTTCTCTGAAAGATTAGCTGGGGCATATCTATATTCTGTTTTTACAAGCAGGTGTAGGCAAGTTCTGCCCAGTCTGTGAAGGTCTGAACAGCAGCAGCTCTGCCAGAGCTGGGCTGGGTGGCCCTGCAGAGGGGGATGAGGTGAGACCACATGGGTGGCCAACCTCCCTGGTGTAAATAAGGGTGAGAAAATGGGGTAGTAGTCTGGGGTCTTGTGTAGGAAGACAATATGGGCTGGTTTAAGGCCACCACAGACATAATTTAATATCCCTGGAAGTGTACAAGGTTAAACAGAGCTCTGAGCAACCTGGTCTTGTTGAAGATGTCTCTGCTCATTGCAGGGGGGTTGGACTAGATGGCCTTCAGAGGTCCCTTCCAACCCAAACCATTCTATTATTCAGGATTTCATGAAATATATTTATTTTGGCAAGATTTTAGATTATGATAACTAGGATTTAACCTATTGAGTAGAGGGATGAGAAAGATATGGTGTAATTGATAGTAAATGGAAAGCTTTATATGTTTCCCTTCCTGACTTTGGCTACTGGATAGGGGAGTTTACACATCAGTGATCAGAAGAAATGTGCATGGCCATATTTCCATGCCTCGGAGAGGTGCATAAATAAATATACTTTGAACATTGCCCCAGCTATCTTGGATGTCCTTGGCAGAAAAGCGTGGTGGGAGGGCATTGAAACTAATGAGATTAAAGCTAATTCAGGTGTGCATACCCCAAGC